GGGAGAGGGAGGGGGGAGGGGAGAGAGAGAGAATTTATTTGTTGTTCCACTTATCTATGCATTCGTTGGTTGCTTCTAGTATGTGCCCTAGCCGGGGATGACCTAGGTGTATAGATGCGGAGGACGCTCTAACCAACTGGACTACCCGGCCAGGGCTACCCTTCGCTTAGAGGTTTAAAAAACAGCAGCTCACTACAGATCATTCCCTCCCCAGACACCAAGTGAACGGTCCTCCGATTAGATAATAAAAAGATATTTTTAGCAACTAGAGTAAGCAAAGCATGGTGTAATGGAAAGAGGGCTGACCAGAAATCCGGAAACCCTGGCTCTAACATAAAACAGCTGTGATTTTTAAGTCATTACGCCTCCGGATCTCGGCTTCCTAGCCCACGGCCACAAGATGGGTGTTGGAAATGACCTCAAAAAGGCTCCTCCCAGCTCTAAAGACGGGTCCGCTTCCGTTTTCGCCACAACGAATTCCGAGGGCCGGTTGGACGCGGGCACGCCCTGCCTCATTCGCCGCGGAGGGCCGCATAAGCCGGCTCGCGGAGCACGGACCCTGGTCCGGGTCTGGCTAACGCGGGTGGGGGCACTGGCGGTGGAAAGGCGCCCCGCCTGCGCCGGACACACTCACCTGGGCCTGCAGCGCTGCTCGCTCCAGCGGGCTGCGCGCTCCGACCTCCGTCCGCTGGCCCGGCACGCGCCCGACCCCGGCCGGCCTCCAGACGCCCTCGCTTGCGCCCCACTTCTCTCCTCCCTCACTCAGACCTTCTGCTCACAACCCCAGCGAGTTTCGGGTCCCAACTACGAGCCTCGGGGAACGTCTCAACTCCCCTCAGGCCTCTGCCTCCGGCTGCAGCGCGCGCTCGACCGGTCGACTTTTGTAAATCCCGCCAAACCCTCTGGGGCAGGGTCACGCCCGCGTCAACGTAACGTCTCCCCGCCCTTCTCGGGTCCGCCTTCTAGCCGCCCCGGCGCTGCTGGCGGGCCCCAGAGGTAAGCCCAAGGAACCTGACCTTGCATGACACTATGTATTGCCCTCTTCTTTTACCCCTTAGGACTAACTCAAAATTTGTGAGTTGCCACCTTCTCTTTACCAAAGACTACAAATCTCAAGTAGTGGAGTCGCTCGAGACTACATCTCCCAGTATGCACCGCCGGCGGACGGGGTGGACGCGGGGCCTCCGCCTCTCTCGGAAGTAGTCTGGTTCCTGAGCGCTACCCTTGGTTAACTTCGTAAGTATCTAACTGAGCGTGAGCTTTTGGTGCTTTAGGTAGCTCTGAGCCTCAGACTCAATCAAATTTCCGGAGCCAGGCGCTTTCCAGGTCCCTGGAGGTGGTGGAGCTGAGGGAGCTAGAGTAGATGGATGAAACTGGGAAATCTAGCTGGTGGAGGGGGTGGAAAAATGGTATGAAAATATTTTGCTGGAGATTGCAGGACTCCAGAGGAAGGAGGCATTGATTTTGAGAAGGTAAACCTTATCATGGTTTATTGGAAAGTTTGTTATTCTTGTTTTAAAGTGTGAATAGGGTTCCCCCGGCAAAGAAGTAGTGCTGGAAGCCAAGCAAATAGGAGCATTATTATGGACATAGAAATTTAACAGCATGGTCAAGGAATAGTATTGTCTGATGAGGAAGGAAACGTAGCGTAACCGGTTTTGAGACTGGAGAGTTACGTTTTAGTTTAAGCTAAGAAAAGGCTTAAGACCATGTATGGAGCTTTGGTCTTCAGTCTTTAGGTAATGGAGAAATCATTGAAGTGTTGAAGCAGACAAGTCATGGTTAGATGTATTTCCCCCACCACCATTATTTTATATTTGTGGAGTGCTTTCAAGTTTATAAAGTTTTCACTTAATCCTCACACCAATATCTTGTGTCAGTCAAGTATAAATTTCAGGAGAAAGAGAAAAGACAGCAAAAGCTGTTAGGAAGTTCTTGCAGTATTTCTGGCAGGAGATGAAAGGCTTGAGTTAGAGCAACGACAACAGATTCAGGAAGCATTCTGGAAGTACAATCAACCTAACTTAATGATTATAGATAGTACCTAGTGCTAATGAGCTGCCTTCCATACCAAAGATACCCACATTTACCTCCCATTCTTCACATATACTCCTCCTTAAAGCATCTACAAATCCATAGCCCCTCTTGGCCGAGTGAAGTTACATGACTTTGACCTTTACTAAAATTCAATTCCTGTGACTGTGTGGATGTTAAATCAGAGAAACCCCATCCACAGAAAGATTAAGAAATTGAGAGATTGCCCTGGCCTGGTAGCTCAGTTGGTTAGAGCATTGCCTGATACCTCCAGGTTGAGGGTTCCATCCGAGGTCAGGGAACATACAAGTCAACCAATGAATGCATGAATGAGTGGAGCAACAAATAGATGTTTCTCTTTTAAAAAATCAATTAAAAAAAAATTTTGAGAGACTAAGAAAGTGGGAGAGAGGCTGAGACAGAAACGGTTTTGAATTCTGACTGCTTTCTAGTTGTCTTTTCCAGTTTCTCAGGAACCCAACAGCACTTACTGCTCTTAAGGTCTATGAGATACACCTACATTCCAAAAAATCTCCGTTTTCTACTTAAACCAATTTGAGTAGTTTTCTGTTCTTTTCCTCCAAGACAACCCACTGAGAACTTGGATATAAGACAAACTAGATTTCTCACTAACAGTTAAATGAGCAATTCATAAGTATATTTATATAAATGTTTAATTGAAAAGTTTTGGATATATCCTTAATTATAACCTAAGTGACCTATCTGAAATCTCAGAGAAGCAACCTCTGATAAGACCAAAACTCAGTTGGCAGAAACCCAATCTTTTGTCTGAAGAAAAATAATCTCATCAGCATAGACAGCCTGGAATATATAAAGGAAATTGGAAAAGGGAAGTCCAGTGTCCAAGTGATCCTTCTGAACAGTGCAAGGATGACTCAATATTAGGAAGTCTTTTATTAACAGGTCATCCTGGCTGGTGTGTCTCAGCCATAGGTTGAGCATCAACCTATGATCCAGGAGATTGAGGTTTGATTCCTGGTCAGGGCACATGCCCAGGTTTTGGGCTTGATCCCCAGTAGGGGGTGTGCAGGAAGCAGCTGATCAATGACTGTCATCATTGATGTTTCTATCTCCCTCTCCTTCCCTCTCTCTGAAATCAATATAGATATATTAAAAATATATATATTAACAGGTCAAAGAGAAAAACAAAAGTTAATTTCATCATTTGAAAACTCATTCAATAAAATTCAACATAAATTCCTGATTAAGGGGAAAAATGGTAATTATATGTCTCCTTAACATGATCAAGAAAAAATTCAGGCACTCCAAGTAAGCTGCCATCATGTTTACTGGTGAAACGTTAGAAACACTTTCATTAAAACCAAGAACAGCCTTGGCAGGTGTGGCTCAGGTGGTTGAGTGTCATCCCACGCACCAAGAGGTTCCCAGCTCAATTCCAGGTAAGGGCCCATGCCGGGGCGTGCAGGGGGTACCCAAATGATGTTTCTCTTTCACATGGATGTTTCCCTCCCTCCCTCCCTCCCTTCCACTCTCTCTGAAAAGCAATGGAAAAAATATCCTCAGGTGAAGATTAAACAAAACAAGGATAAAACTGTCTGTGGTCACTATTGTTTACTATTGTTCAGGAAGTGCCACTAAGTACAATAATAAAAAATAATAAAAACAAATAATAAAATATGTAAATGTTGGAAAAGATTTACAGATATGATTATATACCTGGGTAGTTTAAGGGACAAATAAGAGATTACATTATGTAACTAATTATGAATATAAAAAGATGAGAGCTTTACTAAGTGTTAACAATAACTAATTAGACAATGTAATAGAAAAAAATCCCATTCGCAGTAGCAACAAAAACCATAAATATCTAGGAATAAACTTTAAAAAATGCTCAGGACCTACATGGAAAAATATCTAAAACTATGTTCCCAGAGGAGAAAGCTCAATATTATAAGCTTGAAAATTCTTCAAAATTAGTGAATTCTCAATAGAAATCCCAATGGGATTTTTGGCAATCACTGTTGGTTGTCTACCCAACAGTCATCACCCTTCTTTATAGTTAAGAGAACCTAGTGTGTAGAAAGATGCCCAGCAGTAAGCTTTTGGATGACTTTGCCTTCATCTGTATTCTTTTTTGTATTGTTTGAATTTTTGGTATAAATTTGTTTTGACTTTGTGATAATTTTAATATTGTAACAAAAATATAAAATCCCTTGAAATAAACTTAACAAGAAAAGTGCACATCCTATAAGAAGGAAACTCTAAGATATTAAAAGATACAAAACAAAACATACTGTACTTGTATTGGAAGACTCAACATTTTAAAGGTATCAGTTCTCCCTGAGTTGATCTTTAAATTTAATGTAATGTACTCTGTAAAAATGCCAAAAAATTTTTTTTGGAAACTGAACAAGCTAGTTCTCACCTTTATGTGTTAAAATAAAGAGTAAGAAGAGTCAGACCCTGAAATAAAAGGGTCTGAACTGACCAGATATTAAAAGATACTGGAAAACTACAACAATTACAAGGTATTTGTACAAAAAAGTTAGGTCAATCGAACAGAAGAGTTATCCCAGTGTCTTAGTTTCCTATTGCTGCTGAAATAAATTATCAAAAATTTAGTAGCTTAAAACAAAAATGTATTATAGTTCCGAAGGTCAGAATTCCTAAATGGGTTTCACTAGACTAAATCAAGGTTTTGACAGAATTGTGTTCCTTCTGGAGGTCTTAGGAAAAACTGTTTCCTTGCCATTTCCAGTTTCTAGAGGTGTCTGTGTTCTTTGGCTCAAGGCCCCTTTGTCTTCAAAGCCAACAATCACTGACCTCTGCTTCCATATTCACATCTTCTCTGATTCTGACATCCTCCTAAGGACCCTTGTTATTACATTGGGCCCACCCAGCCAATCCAGGATAGTCTCCCCATGTCAAGATCCTTTAAAACATCTGCAAAGTCCCTACTGCCATGAAAGGTAATATTCACAGGTTTCAGGAATTAGGATATCTTTTGACATCTTTGGGGGTAGGGGGCTGTTATTCTGCCTGCCATTCCCAGATATGTATATCTGAGATACATACATATATATGAATACATAGAGAAATTTAGTATATGATAAAAGAGGCATTTCAAATCAGTGGGAAAAATAAGACTGTTTATTAAATGGTGCTGGGATAATCACATTGCCATCTGGAAAAAATTAATTTGAATCCTTATCTCACAATTTATGTTAGGGTAAATTTCCAAATGTAAAGTATTAAACCACAAAAGTTCAAAGAGAAACTGGATCTTACAATGGGGAAAATCTAAGTATGGCACAAACCCCCAAAGCCATAAGAGAAAATATTAATATGTTTGACTATATATCTTTAAAATTCTTAATGGCAAAACCCATCATAAGTCAAACAACAAATGGGGGAAATTTGGCAACCTTTATCACAAAGAGTTATTTTTTCTGTATAAAGATGTCCTACAAGTCTACCAGAAAGATAAATACCTCAACAGAAACAGACAGAGGAGATAAAAATTGCTCTGGTAAGGCCCTGGCTGGGTAGCTCAGTTGTTTAGAGCATCGTCCTGATATGTCATGGTTGTGGGTTCTATCCCCAGTCAGGGCACGTACAAGAAGCAACCAATGAATGCATAAATAAGTGAATAACAAATTGATGTTTCTCTCTCTCAATCAATTAAAGCCCTGGCTGGTTTTCTCAGTGGTTAGAGCGTCAGCCCACGGACTGGGTCATGGGTTCGATTCCTGGTCAAGGGCACATTACCTCGGTTGCAGGCTGGATCCCTAACCCCGGTCAGGGCACATGCAGGAGGCAACCAATTGATGTGTCTCTCTCACATTGATGTTTCTCTCTCTCCACCTCACCCTCACTCCTCCCTCCCCTCCACTCTCTCTCAAAAAA